CAGGGAGGAAGGATAAAACTGAATTACACAGGTTTATTGTCTGACATATGGTCCTCTTCCTCAAACCTCTTCCCCATAAATTTAATTTAAAAAAGAGAATATCCCTTGGGTTATAATTTTTTTTTCCTTTTTAAACCCCTCCCCCCAAGATTTACTTACCTTATGTGCATGCGTGTTTTGTCTGTATGTATACATGTTCACTGTGGGTGTGCCTGGTGCAGAGATCAGAATGGGGGTTGGATCCTGTTGTGGAATATTATTTTAAGATGTGTTACATTTGTTTATGCTGTGGAACATTTGTTTAATGATGCAAAGATGTGTTGCATTATTTTATGTTGCATTTGTTTAACTTTGTGAAGTTGTGTTACTTTGCCTGTCTAAAATACTTGATTGGTCTAATAAAGAGCTGAATGGCTCTGAACGGTTATATTTGCTTATTTAAATTTTCCTGAGAGATAACAGAAAAGAAGGCAGAGTAAATAGTGACAAATAATACAAATATAAATAGAAATTATTTGGGGTTGGAGGTATAGCCCAGTTGTTAGAGTGCTTGTCTTCTATGCATAAGGCCTTGGGTTGAATGCTTAGCATAGAATATACTGGGTATGATCAGTAGCAAGGCAGGAGAAAGGATAGGCGGGTCTGGCAGGCAGAGAGAATAAATATGAGGAGAAATCTGGGGAGAGAAGATCTAGGAGCAAGAAAAGGAGGAGAGGAGAACGCCAGGGGCCAGCCACACAGCCACACAGCCAGCCATGGAATAAGAGTGAAAGTAAAATGCACAGAAGTAAGAAAAGGAAAAAGCCCAGGGGCAAAAGGTAGATGGGATAATTTAAGTTAAGAAAAGCTGGCTAGAAATAAGCCAAGTTAAGGCCGGGCATTTATAAGTAACAATAAGACTCCGTGCGATTTATTTGGGAGCTGAGTGGCAGGCCCCCAAAAGAGCAAAGAGTAAAAACAACCACCAACAGGATCCTTTGGAACTGGAGTTACAGATGGTTGTGAGGCACTATGTAGGAACTGAACCCAGGTCCTCTGCAAGAGCAACAAGTATCCATAACTGCTGAAGCATCTCTCCAGTGCCATCCTCTTTAAAGTTATTTGCTTTTAATTTTTATTTTATGTGTATGGGTGTTTTGTTTGCATGTATGCACACCACATGTTCACTTGGTGCCTAAAGAGGTCAGAAGAGGGTGTTGGATCCCTTGGGACTGGAGTTACAGATGGCTATGAGCTGGGTGCTGGGAACTGAACCTGGCATTAGTGCCTGGTACCTGCAGAGGCCAGAAGAAGGGGACAGATCCTCTGGAAGTGTAGCTATAGGCAGTTGTTGGTTACCATGTGGATGCTGGGAATCAAAGCTAGGTTTTCTGAAAGAGCAAGCTCTCTTAACTGCTGAGCCATCCCTCCTGCCCTAAGTTATCAAATGTATATAGTAAGGGGCTGGGAATGTCATTTGATGATAGAGGGTCTGCTTAGCATGTGCACCACCCTGAATTATTTCCCAGCACTTTAAAACACAGAAACAAAACAGGACGAACAAACAAAAAACCAAAAACTATACAGCATTGACTAACCAAGAAAGAAGACAAAGCAGGACTATAAATTAAGGGGAAATTGTTATTTCTATGAGATTAATGTATGACAAACCAGAAACAACATAGTCATAGAAAAGGCTCTTAGATGTAGAGAAGCCTGTGTATAAGTCCAGCTCTGCCTGTACCCGGGGCCATGACTCTTGATTTATAAACTACATGATTTATAGTTGTCCCCTCCTTCCCCAGGCTATAAATTGAACCCTGACACACAAAGTGCTTTACCACTGAGCTGTACCTTAGTCTGTTTTCATTTGTTAGAAGTAAACGAGATGGAACATCAAGGCTATCATAGTGCTTGGAGCATAGTAGATGCTCTTTACTTTCCATACTGTGGAAAGCAGTAGTAGGGTCATGAAAGAGTTAAGTGCTTAAAAATAGGTTATATTTGCATATTTAAATTTTTCTGAGTGATAACAGAAAAGAGGGCAGAGTAAATAGTGACAAATAATACAAATATGAATAGAGAAGATTTGGGGTTGGAGGGATAGCCCCATTGGTAGAGCGCTTGTCTTTTGTGCATGGGGCCTTGAGTTGAATGCTTAGCATAGAATGAACTGGGTATGATCAATACTCTTGTATTCCTAGCAGGACTTGGGTGGTGGAGGAAAGAGGATCAGAAGTTCAAGCCATCCTTGGCTACATAGCAAATTTGAGGTCATCTGGGGCTATATGGAACGAAAAGAAAAAAAAAATAGAAAAGATTTTGTGTTTAAAAGTAAAAAAAACTGGGTTGGTGGTGCGGCACGCCTTTAATCTCAGCACTTAGGAGGTAGAGGTAGGCGCATCTCTGAGTTCGAGGCCAGCCTGGTCTACAGGGCAAGTTCCAGGTCAGCCAGGGCTACACAGAGAAACCCTGTCTTGAAAAACAAGAACAAACAAACAAAAAAAGTCACCACCACCAACAACAACAACCAAGACCACATAAAGTAAATCTTCATTTATTTATTTATTTTAATATACTATGGGGGCACGAGAGATGGCTCAGTGGTTAAGAGCAGTGGCTGCTCTTCCAGAGGTCCTGGGTTCAATTCCCAGCAACCACATGGTGGCTCACAACTATCTATACTGGGATCTGATGCCCATTCTGACCTAAAGTTATACATACAGATAGAGCACTCATATACATTAAATAAATAAATAAATAAATCTTAAGGGGAGAAGAAAAGAACAATAGGGAATAAGGAAAGGAGAAAAATTAGATATAGCCATAGGGGGGAAGACCACTAGGAAATTCGTATTTTAAGAGGAACAATGAGAATTCTGAGGAGTGGAAATAGAGCTAGACTGTTTTTATCCTAGAGACCCCAGAGATGGCAGCTTAAAACTGGCTTTAATCCCAGCACTCAGAAGGCAGAGGCAGGCAAATCTCTTGAGTTCGAAGCCAGCATAGTCTACAGAGCTAGTTCCAGGACAGCCAGGACTGTTATGCAGAGAAACCCTGTCTAGAAAACAAACAAACAAAAAAATTGGCTGACTGTGAATTTCACCTAGAGTTACGTTGCAGTTAGCTGCTGACAGTGTGTTTACTTTTACTGAGCTTATGGCTGAATTTTTCCACAACGGGATAATTGACACATTTCAGTAGATTACATTCATATCCTGAAAGAAAACAACAAAAACTAGGTCATATTACACTAGAGTAAGGAAATAGGGTAAAGGGCTGGGATAGCTCACTGGTAGAAGATGCCTTCTTAGCATAGTGCAAGCCCCAGCCCTGATGTCCAGGGCTACCGTTAAGGGGTGGAGAGGTATGTGTGAAGGAAACGCTATTAGTAAGAAAGCATGCTGGCTAGGAATGTGGCACCATGTCTGTCCAGAAGAGCGCGCCATTGGGTGCTGGAGAACGGTTAGAGTCTGAGTTAGTCACAGTATTTACTTTTGACTTTCCTTCCCCTCTCCTTTTCCACTTCTTTCTTCCTGCCTTTCTTTCTTCATCTTCCCCCACTCTCTTCCTCTCCCCTCCTCCTCCTCCCCTAAAAAGACAGGGCCTTTGAACTCTTGATCCTCCTGCCTCAGCTTCCTCAGTGCTGAGATTATGGGCTTGAGGCACTAGGCCAAGCTCCCTTTTTTTTTTTTTTTTTTTTTTAATCAAACAAACCAAACAACTTGTTTGTCTTTTTCTTATTTTCTTAGTTTTTCAGGACAGTTTATCACTGTGTGGCCCTGGCTAGCCTGGAGCTTACCGTGATCTCTGGGAGTGCTCAGATTACCGGTGTGAACAACCAGACCTGTTTTAATGAGTGTTTTGAAGAATAGCAGGTAGCTTGCAAAACTGAGCACAAAAGGGCTAATTAGAGTAAAGTTCAAGAACTGGGGCCACTTTAAGGAGTCCAGGAATCAGAGCAGAAGGTCTCCTCTTTGTGACCACAGGGTTCGTAGCTCCAGCCGCTTCCATTATACCTTTGTCTACCCACAACTCAGATATCTAGAAAAGACTAGCGTCGGTTACTGAGTTCTGGGGTCCAGGGGACAAGGGTTTTTTGATGGGTGGCCCCATAGAAGCCCCACCAAGTGAAAGAGGAGGAGGTTCCAATTGGATGGGGGATAGTCAGCACACCATGTACGAGTTTCTTTTTCGTTGTTGGTAGTGGTGCTGGGCATTGAACCCGTGCCTCTTGCATGCTGGGCACCTCTCACTGAGCTGTATCTCCAGCCCTGAGCTATTGTTACAGAGCTTCTGTGGCTTAGTGAGTAAAGCGCTTGCTGCACAAGCCTGGCCACTGGAGCATGACCCCTGGACCACACAGTTTTAGGAGAGAACGGAGCTTGCAGAGCTGTCCTCTGTGGAGTTCAGTCCCCAGTCCCCACACCCAGAAGCTCGCAGCTACCTGTAACTGTAGTTCCAGGTGAATCTGACACCCTCTTCTGACCTCCACACATGTGCATGCACAGGCACACACACACACACATAAGGTAACACTTTAAATCTTAGAAAAAGGCAAGGATTGAAAAGATGAGGCCTCAGTGGTTAAGGATACATACTGTTCTTCTAGAGGACCCAAGTTGGATTCCCAGCACCCATATCAGGCCTGTGACTCCAGCTCCTGGGAATCCAACACCCCCTTCTGGTCTCTGTGTGTGCACAAACACACACATATCCATATAATTAAAAATAAAAACATCTTGGGGAAGGGGGTGTGGAAGCTGTCGAGATAGGTCAGTAGTTAAAAGAATTTACCCCTCTTGCATAGGACCTAGGTTCAGATCTGTTATTAAATCTCCTCGTGCCTGGCAAATAGCTCCCACATGTAGGCACTGGGAAATTGCAAATTTGTATTTTGCTCCTTTTCCAAGGTGGGTATCCACTTCTGCGTCTTGTAAAATCGGCCGTCCTATGGGCTGCCCTCACTTTCTGGCAGTTTCACAGTCTCACCTCTCATCTTCTCTCTGTCATGCTCTTAGGTAATTGCTGGCTTTAATCGCCTTCGGCAGGAACAGAGAGGCTTGGCATCCAAAGCCGCTGAGCTGGAGATGGAACTGAATGAGCACAGGTGAGAACGTCAGAGAAAGTGGAGCAACTGCGTGGGCCTTTTTGAGGGAGGGCTGCACTAGAGCGGAACTGAATGTTGAGGTCTCGTTCTCCTGCCCTAGCCTAGTGATTGATACACTGAAGGAAGTGGACGAAACCCGCAAGTGCTACCGAATGGTTGGAGGTGTGCTGGTAGAGCGGACCGTCAAAGAAGTGCTGCCTGCCTTGGAGGGTAACAAAGAGCAGGTGAGCAAGAATTCCTGAGGAGGAGTTTGGGCAACCAAGAGCTGAAATGGGGATGACCAGGGATTGAGGGAATGTGGGGGAAGAAAGTTCAGGCAGAAAGTCATGTTGAAGATAGTATATAGCCTGTTAGTCTGTGCCCTTTATACGATTACGAAGTCCAACTCCTTATGGGAGGAGTTGTTGGCCATGTGCCCTTTCCATAGGCTCTTTGATGTGGTTGATTTGGGAGGAGGATGGGTAGAGCAGTGTTTCTCACAGTGTAGTCCATGGATACCTGAATCAAAATCACCTGAAGAACTAGTTTAACAGTGCTGGGAATCAAATCCAGAGCCTTATACATAAGAGGCTAAGCACTCTGCCACTGAGCTCTACCTCCAGCCAAGAATCAGCTTAACATACAGCTTCTTACTCTCTCTCGGATCCGCTGAACCAGACCCTTAAAGATACCATAAGCGACATTTTAAAAGGAGAAACAGACTGACTGGGATGCCATTCATTGGTGATTAACTTGCTATGATGAGGCAGGGGAATCTTGGGTTTGAAGCCAGCCTGGGCTAACTATAAGTCACTAAGTAAAAAAATGAATGTAACCTAAAAGAAGAAACCATAGTATTATAAATGCTATTTTAAAAACAAGCAGCCCACCCTCCCTGGGGACTGTTGACAGTTGAAGGTTGCTCAGAGAGGGTGGCTCATTGTCTTCAGTGACGTAGCCCTGGTGAGTTGCTCATCCTCCAGTAGATAGCTCCAGACTCATGCCCACAAGGGTGGTCCTGGTTAAAGTCGGTGGGTCACAAAACAAAACAGAGATATGTGATTATGAGATGGGGGACTGTGAGGGGGGGTCAATAAAGGAGTGGGGCTAGCCTGGACGGAGGCAAAGGCAGGTGGATCCCTGTGAGTTTGAGGTCAGCATAGTCTACAAAGTGAGTTCCAGGACAGCCAGGGCAACAATAAATAACAGAAGTAAGTAGCTCAGGTGATTCCCTTGTATTAGACACTGTGTTTGAGAATCTGGGCTTTGTTCATTCTTGGCCAAAGGTAAGGTTGAGTATGATCTTGTTTCACTTCCTCTAATCCTAGTCCATTCCAGGTTGGGGAAGGGAGACGTGCACTTCTTCTGTAACCTCTTTCCCTTACCTTCTAGATACAGAAGATCATCGAGACACTGTCACAGCAGCTTCAGGCAAAGGGGAAAGAACTCAATGAATTTCGGGAAAAGCACAACATTCGTCTTATGGGAGAAGATGAGAAGCCAGCAGCCAAGGAAAACTCAGAAGGGGCTGGGGCTAAATCCAGCTCAGCAGGAGTGCTGGTCTCTTAGGAACTAAGGCCTCTGCACTTCCTTTTTTCACCCTGACTCCCACTTCTAGTTTCTTTTTATTGTTGTTGTCATTATTATTATTTTCTCTGCTATTGTAATATTTTTTTGTTAATTAAATGTTTTGGTCAGAATGCTTAGCTGTAGCCTGAAACTTTCTCTCATTTAGGGTTACATTAAGGGCAAAAGACAGCATACAGCTGGGCATGGTGGCACGCATGCCTTTAATTTTAGTGCTTAGAATACAACAGGAGGCAGATCTAAGTTCCAGGACAGCCTGGTCTACATAATGAGTTCCAGGCCATCCAAGGCTATACATAGTGAGACCCTATTTCAGACAAAACAAAACAAAAAATAGATGATTTGCAGTTGTCTCTGCCAGGTTAATAGCTCCCAGTATGAGGAAGGCTTATCCTTTGGCCTTTCCCTTGCAAATAATGGTATTTACTTATTTAGTGCCCTTCCAAAAAGGAGTCAGAGACAAAATGTTGATTCTCAGATTGAAATTTAATAAGTAGATAAAGTGTGCAATAACCATGAGAATGCTGTGTGGGTTTGCCACAACACAGAGGCCTGGCCCATGTGCCTTTCTATTCTTTAGACAAAGAGTTCCAGAATGCAAACCTGTGGGCTAGCAGTGCTGCCGTCCTCACCAAAACCCCCAACCAAATAAAGCTGGTCGTTCCACAGGCAAGTGCGATGGCCCACACGCTTCAGTCTACGGTCCGCACAGGGGAAGTGGAACCACAGAGGCGGAGACTCGCCTGTTGGGTTGAGAGCAGAGGGTGGTTATTGAGGAGGGATACTTCGTCCTCCCCTTCGACAAGTCAGATGCTTGCCTGGTATTTTTCTCATTTGGTTTGTTGGCCTTTTCAAATATTCTATGTATGTTGTCTATTTTGTTTTGTTTCTTGAGACAGGGTCTCACTATGTTACCCTGGCTGGTCTCAAACGCTATGTAGACCAGGCTGGCTGGCCTCAAACTCCCAGAGAATCACCATGCCTGGCTTTGTTTGTTTGTTTTCCTCTGTTTTTTGAGACGGGGTTTCTCTGTGTAGCCCTGGCTGACATGGAACTCGCTCTGTAGACCAGGCTGGTCTTGAACTCACAGACATCCTCCTGCCTCTGCCTCACGAGTGCTGGGACTAAAGGCATGTGCCACCAAAGCCCACCTCTGACTCTGTTTTTAAAAAGAGTGAGTGAGTGTGTGTGTGTATATATATTTAATATATATATTAAATAGGGTCTTTTGTTTTGTTTTGTTTTTGTTTTTCGAGACAGGGTTTCTCTGTGTAGCTTTGGAGCCTGTCCTGGAACTCTGTAGCCCAGGCTGGCCTTGAACTCACAGAGATCCACCTGGCTCTGCTTCCCGAGTGCTGGGATTAAAGGTGTGTGCCACCACCGCCCGGCTAGATAGGGTCTTATGTGTAAACCTGGCTGTCCTGGAACTCACTATGTTGACCAGGCTAGCCTTGAACTCAGAGATCCTCCTGCCTCTGCGTCTGGTGCATGTGCCGCCACACCCAGCCTGCATTTCTTTAACTCTTGTCAACTAATTTTTCCTCTCTTGTATCCCACCACTCCATCTTTTTGTAGATTTTAGGTTCTCATGTCTTTCCCTCCTCCCTCCCGCCAAACATTGGTTTGGCTCTCACGGGTGTCATAGATGTAGAGGTCATTGCAGATCGTGTCTCTAGCTCTGGTCAGAGTTTCACCACCGAAGAGTACAGCGAAAGGTCCCACCACTGAACAGGAATGATGCCGCAGGCTCTGGGGTCCCTGCTGCAACCCCTGCCCACTGCTCACAAGCCTTTCAAGCTGTTCCGTCAAATGAGGGGCAACAAGTGGTTCCTCCTTGGGGGAGAAAAGGGACTGTCTGAAGGGTTTGCTCATCTCAGTTTTAGTCCTCTTCTACTCTAAAATGTAAGGAGCTAATACCTTAATTTTCCCATGGCTCCATTTCCCAATTACTTCTGGTTCGACCGAGTTGCAGCCCCCGAAGAGCAATAGCTGATGACCCGGGTGGGGTCCGGCGGTTGGCAGCAGGGCAGCACAGTGACCTGATCGTGAGACTGTGTGGCAGCCTTCTTCCTTGTAGCTGTTGGTACACAGAAATTCGGGTTTTCTGAAAAGATTCCAATGTTGTACCGCTTTGCCTGAGTGCCCTTGTGAAAGAGAAAGTCCGGGTTGGAGCAGATAGAGTTACGCCATCTTGGAAATCGTAGATTCCAAGATGGTGCTAGGGTGAGGACGGGAATCAATTACCAGTAAGTTTGTTTAGGTTTTGCGTTTCTCGAGTGTGGAGAAAACAAACAAACGTTTGGGGCAAAGGTTGCTGTACCAATAAGTGCGGGTGCTGTGGTCCAACTTTAACGTGTAGATGCTTCCGTAGCGACGCTGAGTGTGGGTGCCACCCTCTCTGCCAGACACTCGCAGCTCCCGGTCGGAGAGGCGAGTGCAGGTGTGGCTGCTGAGGCCAGCAGGAGGGCAGTTGCCAGGGTTCGCAGTCCATACCTCCCACACCCCACTCTGCGTGTCCAGAGCGGCCACCGTGGCTAAGCGACAGGACCCGTCCCAGCCACCCACCACGCAGAGCCAACGTCCCCCCACCAGGACCGCTTCGTGGTGACTGCGAGTGGGACTGCCCCGGGCTGGCAGTCGTACAGCTTGGCCCCCAGCTGGGTCAAAGATCACAGTATCGCTGCTGGGCACTTTTGCACCACCTTCCAGGAGACCCCCTACCAGATAGAACCGTCCCTGCAGTTCGGTGCATGAATGGAAGGCACGAGCCAGGAGCGCGTCCCGCGCCACTGGCCTCCAGGTCCAGGCCGAGCCCCTTGCTCGCCCGGGGGACTCCGCCCCAGCCATGGGCCCAGCCGAGGGGAGAGCGGTTGGGTCGCTTCAGATCACACCCCTTCCCGCGGGGCCCAGCACTTCCTTCAGGCATGGGCTAGCTTCCCCTCCAAGACCAGCCCAGGTCCTTAACTCCAGACACCCCTTCTCTCTGCGGCTGTCGCCCAGCAACCACTGCAGGGACTGCAGTGCGACCGCTGCAAACTGAAGGTCGCAAAGCGCCTGTTACCTTGGAGACAGGAGACCTGGTTAGCTACCGCGATCTTGCAGCGATGTCGCCACAGCAACGAGATGTGGCGAAGCCAGTAAATAACCTAAAAGACTTGGGCTCAAAAAGGCTGGGAGCTGACAGTTCCTTAGAAGAACCCAATAGTGGCAAATTAGCTTGTGATTATGACATTTGAGGCGCAGGGGTGGGGGGTGGGGAAAACCAACGGACCGTGGGGGTTCTTTTTGATTTTTGTTTTTTGTTTTTTTCCTGCTGCAGAATTTCCAACTTGGGATTTTCTCTAGGGATGAGGTAGGAAAGAAATAAGTCACAGGTCAGAGGTTGAGGGAACGGACGTGGACTAAATGGCTTGGGTGTCTGAGATTTGGGTAGGTGTCCCTCAGCGTTCCCATTTATGTAACCGTTAGTGGTAAAGTCCTTGAAGGTACTGACTGGGTGGAGTGTTTCCACCTCTGGCCACTAGAGGGCAGTGGAGTCCAGTCTCCGAGAGAGGAGACAGGCGCGAAAGGTGAGAATGGTGATGGGGAAAAGAGACGTGGGTTGAAGGGGAGATGGGTTACAGAGGGTGGAGTGGGTGAGCAAAAATAGCTTAGGCATATCGTGGACAAATGTCCACTACTGAGTCCTGGGGAGAGCAATGGTTTCATCTTGCCTCTTTAGAATAATGTAACGTGGAAACGGAGGCACTGTGGAACTCGGGATTAAGGAAGGGCAGGGAGTTTCTCCTGATAGGATCCTGGGCAGAGCTGCCCAGCCTTAGAAGGTGGGTGGGGGTGAGACGGGAGGAGAGAAAAACACCCCTGCCCCTCCCTGCTCTCTTCCTTTCGTTCAAGCCGGGTTACTGAAGGCCTTCACGCTGTCCCCACAGGACGCAGTGCAGAATGCAGAGGCCCACATCAAGGCTGACTGCCTGGTTTCAGCTGTAGGAGGAAATACAGACAGATCTCTCCTCCTAGCCCAGCTGGGGAGGGACAGAAACTGATCTGGGAAGGATGGCTGTGACTTTGGCCTTTGGGTTCGCAACTTGAACTTGCTCCCCATTAGCTTGAGAAATCCAGGCCACGGAGAATGTCCAAGATTTCAGTGGGCATGGACAGGCATGGGATTCGGAGCACACTGGACCTTTTCCCTCCTGATCCCAATTAAATCTTGAGGGAAAGCTACGTGGAGAGGGCATGCATGGGAAGGCAGTCTAGACTAGATGATTATCAGGACCCGTTGCTGTTTTCTCCCTCCCGTCCTTCCTTTTTTAAAATTTATGGTACTGAGGATTGAACCTAGCGTGTTGCTAAGCAACACTCCACTACTTCGATGCATCGCCAACCAATTTTTTTTTTTTAAACTTTGAGTCTTGATAAGTTTCCCAGGGCGGCCTTGAACTCATTTTGTAACCCAGGCAGTCTTTGCCTCAGCCTCCTGACTAGCTAAGATTACGGGCCTGGCCCCACCTGTATGCTAAGCTGAGATTCAACAATAGCTCTGTGTCTTTGCCCATCCAATTATCTTTTCCTGTATTTGACAAGTCAGATCCTCAGTTTTCAAAGGTTATGATAAAATTCTCTTCTACTAAAACGAACATCTAAGGCTAAGGAGATAGCTCAGTGATGCAAGGACCAGGACCTGAGTTCCATCCCCAGAACCCGCATGAAAATAAGCTGGGTATGGCATCCCAGCGCTGGCAAGGCAGAGGCGGTGGATCCCTAGCCTGTTAGGTGAGCTCCAGGCCAATGACAGATCTGTCTCAAAATACTAGTGGACAGCATCTGAGAAACAGCACCTGAGATTATCCTCTGCATTTATTCATCGTGAGGATTGTGGGGGGTGAGTGGGGATGGTGCATACAATGGCCTCTGCTTCCACATGCACACACATGGACATGAATACACAGCACCTTTGATTTCAGTACTTAGGAAGCTGATGCAGGAAGATGGCTACTCAAGGCTACACAGAACTAATCCTGAGCTAAGATTACAGGCATGGACCACCATGTCTGGCCCTGAGCCATTTTCTGACCCTGGGATCATCTCTGGTTCTCAGAATTGTTCAGTGTATACAAAAAACCAACACTTAGCCCAGTGACTCTTTGTCACAGTCCCAGGACTTCCACAGTGCCCTCCTGTATTCTCTAGGCTACCTCATCTGTCAGGCCTTCTCTCTGGCTCTTCTTCTATTGTCCCTGACCTGCCTACATTGTTCCTGCAGCCACTTGACCTCCATGGCTTTGTGCTAGCCTGACACCAATTCTGACTGAGTTATTAGCTCAAAGAGGATGTGGACACACAAGATCAGAGGAGCAGGAAAATGAATTGCATGAGGCCAGGGCTTGAGAGCTCCTTTTATTGGACATGAGCTAGAAAGTATCTGAGAGAAGCCTGACAGTGGTGGTGTGTGCCTTTGATCCCAGAACTCGGGAGGCAGAGTCAGGTAAGTCTCTGAGTTTGGGGCCAGCCTGATCTACAGAATGAGTTCCAGGATAGCCAGGCCTACACAGAGAACCCCTGTCTGGAAAAACCAAAAAAAAGAAAAAGAAAAAAAGGAAATATCTGAGAGAAAGATAGAAAGATAAAATTGTAAGTATATTTAGGATGGAGGGGAGTGGGGATCAGGCAAGTTAGACAATATGAAGAAGGGATGATGGGGAAGACTTTTTTTAAGGTTTTTTGAGACAGGGTTTCTCTGTAACAGTCCTAGCCATCCTGGATCTCGCTCTGTAGACCAGGTTGGCCTCGAACTCCCAGAGATCCACCTGCCTCTGCCTCCGGAGTACTGGGATTAAAGACGTGCACCACCACTGCCCAGTGAATTTGTGTTCTTGAGGAAAGCAATGTCTAACAGGAGCATCACCAGTTACTGAGTATGAGAACCAACAGCAAACATTGTGTGTGAGTAATTAATAAATCCCAGCGGTGGGCAGCAGGCATCCAGAAATTTCTCTCAATGGCTTTCTCTTGCTCAGATTTTGTCTCTGAATTTCCTCTCTAGGAGCAGGTAAGATAGCTCAATGGGGAAAGGTGCTTGCAGCCAAGCCTGAGGACCTGAGTTTGATACCCCAGCCCCACATGAGGGAAGGAGAGAACTGGCTTCCGAAAGTTGTCCTCTGACCTCCACGTGAGGGCCGTTGTACGCACCATCCCCACCGACCCCCCACAATCCTCACGATGAATAAATGTAATTTCCTTTGTTTGTTTGTTTGTTTGCGAGACAGGGTTTCTCTGTGTAGTTTTGGTGCCTGTCCTGGATCTCACTCTGTAGCCCAGGCTGGCCTCGAACTCACAGAGATCCACCTGGCTCTGCCTCCTGAGTGCTGGGACTAAAGGCGTGCGCCACCACCGGGTTGTAATTTCCATTCTTTAGAGATTGTCTGTCTTTTGATTTCCTTTTTTGTTGTTGTTTGTCGTGTGTGTGTGTGTGTGTGTGTGTGTGTGTGTGTGTGTGTGTCAGGGTTTCTCTGAGTAGGCCTAGGTGTCCTGGAACTTGATTTGTAGACCAGGCTGACCTCAAAGTCAGAGATACATCTGTGTCTGCCTCTGGAGTGCTGGGATTAAAGGCGTGGCCATCACACCCCGCTATCTTTTGCGTTTTAAATTCTTTTTGGGGGAGCTGGCAAGATGGCTCATCAAATAAAGAGACCCACCACTAAACCTAGGACAGTCAAGGCTACACAAAGAAACTCTGTCTCGGAAAAAAAACAAAACCAAAACCTAGAAATGGATTCCAGGTCCTAAATAATCATGCTAATTCTTGAGCTCCATTGCCAGGAACTGCCTCCCACTCACCCACCCCACTCCCCCCCCCTCCCCCTTGGAAAGAGGTTCTTGCTATGTAACTGGCTGGCTAGAAACTCTGTGTAGATCAGGGTGGCCTTGAACTTCTGACATTTCCTGTGCCCTTGCTATGATTACAGGCATGTGGCACCATTCCTGGCCTGTGTCAGCCCTCCAAAAAAATGTTTTGAGCCGGGCAGTGGTGGCGCACACCTTTAATCCCAGCACTCGGGAGGCAGAGCCAGGTGGGTCTCTGTGAGTTCGAGGCCGGCCTGGTCTACAGAGCAAGATCCAGGACAGGCACCAAAACTACACAGAGAAACTCTGTCTCGGAAAAAAAAAATGTTTTGAAACAGTCCTGAGTTTGGGACTCCCATATAGAATAAAGACACTCCAGGAGGCTTCCCTCCACCAAAAAATGCCTCAACCTCCTAGGTACGCCCCGATCGCAGCAGGTGTCCCCAGAGAAGACCGTAGTGAGTGTAAGCCTAGATGCAGGGAGGTTAGATGCCCGTCCTTGTCCCTCTACCCTTTCCTCACAGCTCTCAGGCTGAGGCTCCTGACCTTGCTAGTTATCAGTGCAGCGGACATTGTAGATGCCTAACCCTTTCGCGTTTATGCTGCTTCTGGAACTGAGAGGGAAACGAGCTCAGGAAGACTTCAAGGTAAAGCTGGAAGGCAGGGTAGACTCACCGCTGGGGGCTGCCTCCATGTACAGTGTGGGCTCCCCCGGGGAGGAAACTAGCTCTTTCTATGATCGATAGTGGGGGGCAGAGATAACACAGCCGAGGGCCTCACTAGAATCCGTTTTCTCACCAAATTCTCAGGCTCCCTCCTCACCTTTGCTCTGGCTTCCTGAACCCTCGATACATCTGCTGCTGCTACTGTCACCACTCAGAAGACTGATTTCCAGGAGAGGTCCTAGTCTCATCCCGTGCCAGCCGGGGCCTATTCCAACAGCCTTCTGAAGGTGTCAGCCCATCCATAAACACAGGGTAAAATAATAAAGGCTTTTGTCTCTCAACCCATGTTCTAGTCACTGATGTTGCGGAAGTGAGTTTATAGAGGCCGAGTGAGAGCAGAGAGGAGGGGCTCTGCACTCAACTGCCTCTGTTGAGAAACAGGACCCAGATATGCCTTGTGTTCAACCCTCTCTTTTCCTGGGTGGCTTACTCCGCGTTAGAACCCTTGAGGAACAAGCATGCCCAGCCCCCTGAGCTCGAAGGGATGTTGTTAGGCAACCAGGAAATGTGGTCTCATTAGGAGCTGGGCTGGGTATCGAGACTGCATGATTGGCAGATAAGAACAGCGCGGCACGTATCAACATTGAGATGGGATAGCTCGGAAAACAAGATGCCATCATCCCAATGCTGGGCATAGCGAGGTTTTAAGCTGGAGATTGGGGGGAGAGGGGGATAAAGGCATTTTTCAGTGTAGGAAGGGCTTCTGGAGCCCCCGTGTTGTGTATGTGGGGGGTCTCTCTCCATATCTCCGTAAGTGGAGAGGCATCCTATGGAGGACCAGTAGAAGTGAGGAAGCCACCTGCTGGAGCCTCAGTCCTGGGGACAGGGTCAAGTCCAGTGATCGGTATTCTTCTACCTCGTCAGTCAGCACCCCACAGCCTGCTGTGTGAACTCTGCGGGAAGCCGGAGGATGGACAGCTTATCAAAGCTGTGCAGAAACGGAGCACCAACCCTTCATCCACACCCATGCTTCTACCTAGTTGCGTTCTGATTTGTTATTCACCCTCCTCTCTCTCTCTCTCTCTCTCTCTCTCTCTCTCTCTCTCTCTCTCTCTCTCTCTCTCTCTCTCTCTCGGTGCCAGAGCTCCCCTTCAAGCTGATGTCTGTTCTCTGACCTGGACAAACAGGATGCCACTCACTGAGGAGTTCTCTGATGTCCTCCTACCCCAGGCCCATTCTCCTGACCCCCCACCCCAGCCCTCCCCGCTTCGGCCCACCCCTCCCCCCCCATCGCTCCGTCTGACCCTCACTCTCACTCTCCTTCCCCCACACCACTCCGCCCAACCCTGTCCCTCCCTGACTCACCTCAGGCCGCACTGTCACAAACAAAAATTTCGGCACAACCCTCTCCAACCGGTTTGGCTCAGGTGTGCAGCCTTCCATGGGGACTGAGACCAGTTCAAGCGGATGCTTGGACACGCGCAGATAATATCCACATGGACGGGGACAGGGGCAGTCCCGTGTGTATCAGCGACACAGAGACACACGGAGGAAACACGTGATGGCGAGGTGTAATTTGTTGCAGATATATATGTGTCCGTCTCCTGGTTGAGGGGCCCTCGAGGGCAGGGATCATGTGTCCTATGTCTCCGTCACCTCCCTTGAGCCTGACCCAGTGATTTTCATTGAGTGTCTGTTGAATGAATGCACGGCTTGCAGTCAAGCACAGGGATGTTGCACAGACAAATGCACGCGCTGAGGATGCCGTCCGCCATGGCTTGGATTGTTCCCATTCTTAGAACTCAGAATGTAGGTGGGAGGAGGGAGGGTAGGTCGTGAGGCTCGAGGGGAATGGGGAGTGGATGCAGAAGAAAGAATCGAGCTCTGGATATAGATAGGCATTGGTCTCGAAAGGCTTTCATCACCATCATTTTAGTAGAGCGCCTGACCTGAAATACGGCTTCCCTGGGATTCATCCCAGAAGAGGATAGAAAAGGCCTGAGTATAAAGCATATTCTTCAGGAGTATGGTCCATATAAGACATTATAGGACTAAGGGAATGAGAGAATAGAGGGGACTTGAAGGTAACTATTTGTTAGCTGAGGAAAGGAAAATCCCTACCTCAATTGCAGGCAAGGATGGCTGCCTTGTTCTCTCTGGCCAGTGGCACCTGCAGCCCCCATTTGAAGGTTGTTTACTAGGGCCTAACCATAGCCATGAAGATGTGGGTGTGCTCATTACCTTAATACCACATCAGAGAAGTTCTGTTTCCCTTCAGTGCTCCCTATGACTGAAGTTGGGGTGAGTGATTTAGGGTCCCACCATGCAGCTCAGAGATATTTTGGCCGGTAGCACTTTGAGGGGAAGAACATATTGTGAATAGAAATGCCAAAGCAGCCTGGATGCTTAATTTGTGATCTAGCTGCCTTCCCACCCCCATGCCTCAGTTTCTCCTGTGATTTCCTGTACCTAGAGGGATGAATCCGTGGGAAGGAAAGAGCTCCTCTGAAAGCATGTGATAGGATCCAAAGTGTGATAATTATAATTATAACACAGGATGCTCCCTCTCCCATCCCCCTGGCCCTACCCCACCCCTGCCACACTGGATCTCAAAGCAACATCGGGGTGGGGCTGTTCCCCTGGCATAGGTGGGGACCTGAGTCCTGAAGAGGGGAAGGGGTTTGCCAAGGCGGAGGTGGAGAGAAATTAAGATTTGGCATCTAGCCTGACCCTTGAATCTGCCTCTGACCTGCAGGAAATAGCCCTTGAAGAAGAGGTCACTATCATAACCGCTGCTGAGAGGTGGGGTCCAGAGATGGGTCTACTCTACGGCAGTGTTAGAGTCCAGATTACAAGCCGGGTTCAGGATGGTAACAGGATGGTTTGAGATCTCTGCCTACTGACCCTGCCTCACCATCTTCTCCATACTGACATTGGTCTATTCAGAAACGCAGGCCTTCGTCAATAAAGCACTCAGTTCGCATTAGGGGTTGTGAACTGCCCTAGCATGGCTGACCGGGCAAAATTATACAAGGGGCTCGACTTTCCAGTACTTCACGGAAGACAGCTGCCATCCTTTCTTTCCCTCGGCTTAGCAAGTTTACTGAATCGCTGTCACGCCACAGGCCTCAATCAATGGCTCCTGAATCAAAGCTTACAATGTAGTTAAGGAGATAAGATGTGCACAGATTATGAGTGCACAAGCTATAATAAAGAGACTGGCGAAAGCTGAGGAAGGCGACAAGAAAGGTTCATTTCAAGTGGGAGGAGCTGAGAGGGCTTCCTGGGGCACGTGGCCTGTGAGGTCCGGTTTGAGAGATGAGCAAAGACTGACAGGTAAGGGGGACTGAGGAAGCGGCTCAGTGGTAGAGAGAGCTTGTATGCACAAAGCGCTGGGTCTGGGCCTCCACCTGAAAAACAAACAAACAACACAAAAGCCTGAACAGGTAGAGTCGGGAAACAGTGATCTTCTTCTACATTAATGACCTCCCCCATTATTGATACTTCGTTCTTCCTTTCTGTGTTTCTGGACATGAGGTCTATGTAACCTCTATATTTTCTTTCCCTGGGTGTATCTCCACGTATGTGTGTCTTTCAAGAATTATTATTATTGTTGTTGTGTGAGGTAGAGCCTCATCTAGCCCAGGATAGCCCCGAACTCTATGCAGCTAAAACTGTCTTAGAAATCTTGATCCTCCTGCCTTCCCCTCCCAGGGGCTAGGACTGCAGATATGCACCAGCATGTCTGGCTTTTACCTGTCTTTGAAATTCCAGTCTGCCAGAGGTCTCATCTCTCTCTTTCAGGGGCTTGATACACACCCCTTCTTCTGGCTCTCCAGCTGTCACTTGGTGGTTACTGGTAGTCACCCAAACTGGAAATATGTGATCAGATGAGTATAAGTGTTCTAGGAGTACAAGGATAGAGTGAAATCAATACTGTCCTTGCAGAGTCCAGGCACGTTGTCCTCCCCATGACCATGGGGGGGACACACCATAGAGAAAAAGGAGAGCCCACCCCCCCCTCCTCAGGTTGTGCTGATGCTCTTTTAAAACTCCTGGCCAGGTGTCGAGTTATGGAGAGAAGGTTCTGAGAGGAAAACCAGGAATCCACAGAGCTAATTTCTTTGGTCTGTCCCCCCACCTCTCCCATGCAGGGAGGAGCCGGAGGAAAGCAGTGAAGTTCTTTCTCAGGGGTCTCTGAACTAGCTTCCTGTTTCCAGAAAACCACTAGACTAACTTGACTGTTCTCTAGCAAGTTCATTCTCCAATGTAGGCCTTCTGAAAGATGAGGTAGGTGGGCCAGCAGGTCAGGGATCTCCTCAGTCCTCTAATTCTGTGGCACCAAAACTGAGCCCTTCAGGAGATTGAGGAACTTGTCAAGGACCCCAGGAAACAGCTGACCTGGCTGGCATATAAGAGCATTGGTTTCATTCTCACACACATCTGGTGCCTCCCTCTTTAAGACACCCAGGCCTCCTGTCCCACCCTCCTACCTGGGGCTCCCCCTCACAGCGCTGTCCATACCCTCACAGGTAAAGCCCCTGTTGCGGATGAGATCCCACTACCCGCACCCAGATCCTTCCCTTCTTCCCTCCCTCCCTGGCGCCCATTAGCTAGCCCAGGCCGTGGGGGCGGTGGCTGCGGAGTCTCCTCTCTGTGCCAGGCCCGGCCCCCGGAGACGCACCTGTTCTGACCTGCTTAGCAGGTTCCCAGGTTTCTGCCTTCGTTGTTGGCCACGGCGTGGGAAGCAGCTCTGGGGGAGCTCAGGGCTCCCGATCACGGCTTCTTGGGGGTAGCCACGGCTGGGTGGGTAGAACTGGGGCCTGGGTCCCCTAGTGGAGACCCAAGTGGGATAGGCAGGTACGTCAGTGCCTGGGGACTCCGTGACTTCCTGCCTTCTGGGTCAGAGCTTTACACAGCTCCAGAACCGGCTCCCAGGGAGAACTCCGTGGAACCTCAGAATCACTGGGCAGGTCTGCTTTTGGGCCAATGCCCCTGTCCCTGGGAGCCGAGATGTGGGGCCCTGAAGCCTGGTTGCTGCTGTTGTTCCTGGCATCGTTTACAGGTAGGACTTGCCTGAACCATCAGGACTCTTGCTTCTGAGCCCTACCTGGCAGAGACAGGCACACAACTACACACACACACACACACACACACACACACACACACACACACACACACACGCACACTCACACTCACACACGAACGCACCACATGCGCAAACCTTCCCTTTCATTGGACTCTAGATGAAGAAGACCATCTCTTTCTCCTGGTCATTCCACTTGCCATTAGTGCCCTCAGAAGAACCAATGTAGCTCTTTCTTCTTAAGTCGCCTCTCTGCCCCAAGGCCAAGCCATTTCATGTCTACAGTCCCTAATTTAACTACCTCTGCTAAAGTCTTGCTTGCCAAAGCCTCTGTGGACACACACACACACACACACACACACACACACACACACACACACACACACACGCATCAGTGCAGGTGGGCTGAAAGGTGGAACCCAAGGACCCTGCTCACTCCAGGGATTCCTGAAGACTTTGTGGCCTACCACTCAGCTTCAGAACGGCCTCAACATTCACTAGGTGTAGGAAATCTGGTGTCTGGGGAGTAGTGGGCATTTCTGTCTCCTTCTCATCTCATGATAATATTCTGAGCGGCAGGATTGAGGTGCTCATTGAGGGATTACAGGAAATCCAAGAAATTCCTCTTCCCCAGCCCCTCTCCTTCCCTGGCACACACACTAATAGGTGGAGAATAATGGTATGCGTTTCTTATACGATTGGGGGGAGGTTAGAAGGTAAAGGGCCTTCTAGATGGGGTATGGTCCACTTTTATTCATTTATTATCTCCATTTCCTCTGTTGAATGCCTCTCCAGTACTTATACTTTCTGCCTGCCTAATATATTCAGAATGTATATAAATTATCGGAATGTATCATTTTTTGAGAGCGAGAGAATATGTATACAATGAGACCAAAGTAGGATGCCATTGGCTGTTTCTGGGGAACTGAAGACCTCTTTTTCCTTAGAAAGACAGGGCCCTGTCTGTGAAGGACAGTAGGATCCTCAGCTCAAGAAATAGTAGCAAGGGACTGTCGGTTGTCCAGCAACACTCGGTGACTCTCCCCACCCCACCCCCATTCTCAGCTGAAGCTCAAGAGGAGAACAAGGCATAGTTGCCTGGCCTGGCAGGATTCAAGGTTGCCTTCACTCTGGGCTTGGAACAGAAGAAGGGTCAACGGTCCACTCTCTAATGTCAGGATGCTGAGCTCCAAGCTCTGCCACCTGGCCTTACCCCCAACCCCTGCTCTTAATTCCCATCTATGGTATAGCCCTTTCCACTTGTTTAAGACGAGAGGGCGGGGCCTTCTGCTGGGCCAGGGAACCCAAGAGACACTTTCCTGTAGAATCTACCCACACCTGAAGAATGGAGTCATGCTGTCTCAGGACTTGGGTAGGATCAAAGAGATCACTACTCCAACTCCTTCATTTTACAGATGGGAAAACTAAGAGAAACAGATAGGCAGGTGAGATCTGCATGATTACTCAGCGTAAGAAGCAGAACCAGGGTTAGTGTCTTGGTCACCTGACGCCTTGTTGAAAAGAAAAAAAAAAAAACAAAACCCAGCATAGCTGAGGGCATATGGTACTTGATGTTGGCAATACACTGGTAAGGATACCATTCCTGCCTTCCTTTTCCATGATGCGAAACTGTTCTTTCTAATAGAAGCCCAGAGAAGAGGGAAAGAACTTGCTAGAACACTACCCCAGCCTTCACCCAGGTCTGAGAGAACCTATGCCGAGGAGGAATATGCTGTCTCCAGCATTGCCCAGGAAGCTAGTAACTAATCGGATGTCACTGTACTTCAGTCTGCACAGAGATGAAGGATATTCCCAGGGACCCCTGGAAACTTGGACTACAGGGGGCCATAGCCCAAGGACTAGACAGTCCCATCACCTCCATTCTGGCTCCCCTGTGTGTATGTATAGGCATCCCCTTAAAGGCCCTAGGAACCTAGACAAAATTTATGTCTCTCAATGCCCCACAAATTTGGAAATCAGGAGCCTTGAGCTATGATACCATTTCTTCCATTAATTTGTTAGGTACTTTTGAACAGCTAAGAGACTCTACTTCAGGAGGCCAAGAAGGACTGGATGGTCTCTGCAGACCTCTTGACCCTGAACTACTAGGCTTCTGTGATTGACTGTCCAGCTCCTGGCTTGAAGGGGAGTGTTTGTGGTGTTTGAAGAACTGATCAGTCCCCCTGTGGCCGAGAGGACCCTTCCCAAAGACGCAGCCTTCCTGGCCCAATTGCAAAGTGACACCTGCCCCCCAACTCCAGGGCCATTAGAGCACTGAGCCCTAGGGCCTTGCCCCACCCCTGACAGGGAGAGGAGCCCAGGCTTGGGAGGTGCCTCCAACACCACAGCTCTTTGTTTCTCCTTAATGGGATGAGTTTCCGGGTGAGGTCCCATCCCCTCCCCTCCCCATCTCTTGCCCTGGGGCTGAGGGGCCTGAATCTACAAACTACTTTCCAATAGGATCCTGGTGTCTAACTCTTTGGGTCCTGCAGGACCTGGGCATAAGCTGTTGTGTGAGTCTTCTGAAGGTTAGGATCAACTTTCTGCTGAAATTAATTTCCTAGAAAGGGAGGGGCCCCATCCCTGCTTTTCTACTCCCGATGACAGAGGTGGGCAGGCCCTTTCCTGTAGGACCTACCCAAACCCAGAGAAGCCAGAAAGGGAGGTTTGCTTACCCGCCCAAGTGTGGAGGGCTAGGAGAATCCCAGGGAAGCCCTTGGCCCCGGTGACCCTGGTTCTGTCCAGGTGTTTTCTAGTGACGCAGCCGGAGTGGAGAGACCCCAGCTCCAGAAACGGCAGTGAGGAGTTTAGTGTGCACAGCCCACTCTTCTAGAGCATAGCCTCACAATCTGGGGTCCTCAGGCAAAGCGAATGGGTGCGAGCCACTGAGGGGAAACTAGCCTGGAAGGAGAGAATGTCTGCATAACCTCGTCTCCAGAACTTACACTGGCAAAGAAGGGATGGAAATGAAAAGTGGGAAACTGAGTCAGGAGCACAGAGAGTAGAGGAACTTTGGGGTCTAGAACCGGGAACAGAATCTAAAGCAATTATATTTTAAGTGGGGAGTCACCCACCTGTTTTCTGGAGGAGAATGGGGGCACAATTCTTTCACTGGAACAGGAGCCAACATGGCGCCTGTGGCCTGAGGAGCTGTTCCCATGGCTTTCTGTGCCAACCCCACCCCCAACACATCTCTCTAAAACTGTTCTGAAGGCTAAGGTTGGGGCTGTGATGTGAAATGAGGCAGAGCTAGCCACAGTGGAGGAGGGGATGGGCAGAATGGGGTGGGGGGACTAGATCTCAGGAGTTTGAGAGAAGTTGAATTCTAGGTCTCCCACCCACAGCGGTGACTCAGCAGGGCTCAGACTCTGGCTCCGGGGGGGTTTAGGGGACTTATCTGTGCTGAGAGCTGTGTCTAAGGCAGAGCTGGCTGCCTCGGGAACTGCCCTCCCCATGGTTCTTCTTTCCCTGTTACTTCTGTGGCTCTCCTAGACACTAATCTGTGGGTGGGCGCTTTGCCCAGCTTGGGAAGCTCTCGTTAAGCTGGGGGGCTTAGGAAAAGTGGGGGGTAAGCGAGAGAGGTGGGTGAAGGTGGAGGGAAAGGTTTTGGTTTCCAAAGTTCTCAATGCCAAGCCCAAGGTCATGGGCACGGGAAGGACCAAAATGGTTTTGCTTTGTTTGCATACCTGTCCTGGGTGGATGGGGGTCTACAGACACCTCCCTCTCTTGCCTTTTCTTCCCTCAAACTAACACATCTACGCCAGCCTTCTCTGGTGAAGCTGGTGAAGGGAGGCAAGAGTTAACAAAAAAGAATGAGAC